TCTCTCTCTCTCTCTCTCTCTCTCTCTCTCTCTCTCTCTCTCTCTCTCTCTCTCTCTCTCTCTGTGTATCACATGCCAGCGCCCCGCCTGTCACAGCATCGAAAACATGGAAATCTCTCTCTCTCTCTCTCTCTCTGGGCCCTGGCGCGGTTTGCCAGGGTGTCCGGTGGTACGTTGAGGACTTACCTCCTTAATGAGTACCCCGGGCTGGAGAGTTTTTTTTTTATTTACCAACCCTTTTGTTTTCTGGTCTGCAGTCCTACTGCGGCGGGGAAAGGTTTTTGAAAAAACTGTGGGAGTCGATTTGTGGTTTTTGAAGTTTCGTTTGTTATCAGTAGACCGCCGGACGTCGTGGGGCCCAGTGGTGATTACTGAGAAGCTCTGGTCTACATTTTGCTCTGGTTTGTATACTACTAAAATGAGTGAAGTGCCACAAAATGAGGTACGAAGTTAGAAAGAAGACAGGGAGATGACGCTGCAGTATAGGAGTTCTGAAGCGCCTTCACGAAACACAGTTGAATTTCCCGCCGTTCAAGGCGAGGGAAGACAGGTGCAGAGCCGAGTAAGGGAGGGACATAGCCCGTTTTGCGAACGTGCCAGAGGAGGGGAAGTGAATGGAAGAAGACGCAAGCGGGAGTCTTGGCGGGACGACAGAATATGGGGTCGTGTTTAGTAGGAACGATTGCTGCATACGAGCGGGTCGTGGCAGCGGGGAAGTAGCCGTGATCGGGGGATTGTAGGAATAGCGATGAGGGTAGCTGAAGGGTGGGAGTCGTGAGTAGGAGATTTAGAAGGACGAAGGAATGAGGATAGTGGACAGTAGAAGTAGTTGGTGCTTTGATACGCGCGCTTGGGATAGGGGATCAGGTATATAAGAAGGAGGGTTGGTGGGTTTTGACATCTCGAACTCTGGTTTGCCTCCTGATGAGCCTGCTGATGCACACCAGCAGCGAAACGCGTAGAGGCGTTGTGCGTGGGTTTTTTTTCTGCAATATCTTGAGATTATCTTCTGGAGTTGGGTAAACTTTTGCTTCATCCAGCATGTTGCTGTATTCTTCTCATCTTCTATTCTCGAATAGCGTGGTAACCGGGTTGTGCGGCAATACGCGGTGGCTACGTCGTGGAAGAAGGGTATCGGCCCTATGTACTGCATTTTCGAATGCTGTTCAGGTGCCTGTACGTGGTTTAGAGCAGGCGTGATCGTCCGTGCTCTAGTTCATCGAGAGGAAACTCTAAAGCGTGATCGTGTTCTTATCTTGGTACGTGATCGTTACTCAAGAAGCAACGTCGACCGGTGATGTTTAGCACGCGGTAAAGTTGTACCGGTATGAGGGATGGAGTAAAGGTTTACCGATCGAGATGTCAGGATAGTTTGGGAACGTGGGATTAGTGCTGCGTAGGGGATAGGATAATTATGAATGATCGGAACTTTAGGGAGTCAAAGTTTTTTCGTTTATGGCGAGAGTTGGAAGAATGCGTGTATGATGATTTGATTCCCCTACTGTACGTGACAGTACACTTTGGCAACGAAGAGTTGAACGAGGAGTTTATTGACTTATTAGAAAAGTTTCTCGGGAGGTTATAAAGTGTTGGGTGTATAGTTAGAGATCGGAGGAGGAGAAGTAGAAGAAGACTGAGGAGGAGGAGGTAGGGATGGCTAACGTAACGGTACAAGGCGCACCACTCCAGGGATACGTGAATGGTGCTCCATTTACGGGGGTGCAGCCGGGCGTTATTACATGCCATATATGTGGTAAGGTGGGGCATTATGCCCGGAATTGTTGGTCTGCGGGTAACGGGAGACCAGTGTCCGTTCCACCGATCATTACGAATGGGACTCAGGATGATGAAATGAAAGAAATGAAAGAGTACTTTAGGAAGAAGACGAGGAAACGGAAAGCAGATCTGGAGAGGAGAGAAAAGGAGGAGGAGGAGAAGAGGCGGAAAGAAGAGGAGAATAGGAGAGAGCACGACAGGTTGAAAGAAGCCGAGGCACGGGAAGCTCGGATGGAAGCGAGGCTAGTAAGACTTTTGGCGCAACACTCGAAGACGGTGGACAGAGGAGAATCGTCAGTTAAGAAAAAGTCCCCCAAAACCAAGGCTAGGATGCTCCGGGAGATCAGGAGCTATCTCGTTGAATCGGAAGACGATAGCGAAGAAGTTAAGGAGGAAGCGGGGAAATTGATCGAGGCGATAGAGAGGCGAAAGGGAAAGAGAAAGGAAACTGTTGGAGGTGGGGTGGTATCAAGGAACCTGCGAAAGGGTCAGCGAAGTGATCCGGTGATGGTGGAGGAAGATGACGAAGTACGGACACCGCCTGCGGCCAGGAGAGGGGAAGGCCAGGATGCTGCGAGCACGGACATGTTGGATTTTGCTATCGAAATGCACCGACATCGACATCTGTCGGAGAAAAAGGTGCCCGAGTTGAGGAAATTGTGCAATCGGGAGGGAATTGAATGGTCCAAGCGTGATGTTGCGATCGGTGAGTTGGTCAAGTGCAAAGCCAAGCTTGCGTACGGTGAGTTTGTTGAAAGTGGAAGGATCTCCCCGATATTTGAAAGGTAGATGCCATGGGAGTGCTGGGGGAGCTCCGGGATGCGATGCGTCGAAGAGGGGATGAAGTGAATCGGGGTAGGAGGGGCTTGAAAAGCGAAGAAGAAGATGTGATTTTTCGGTTGTTTCTGCTGTGTGTGATTAGAGGTGAATGTCCATGGGGGAAGAAATGGATTGGGATTACTGCTACAGAGGAGAACGATGCTTCGACTAATGATCCGGGGGTATATGCCGTTGTGAGCCCGTTCTGCCGCCACTTCTACATTGGAGCTACCACAAGGAAGATTATCATACGTTGGTCTGATCACGTGAAAGGAGCGATCAGAAAGGAGGCAGGAAATGCCCCGAAGCTGCATAACTGGTTGAAGATCTTTGGGTGGGAGAAATATCTCGTGCTCCCTTTGGTATGTAATGCCTCTGACCCCTTCGTAGTAGAAGGTACATTGATCCGGAGGTTTTCTCCTTCTTTGAACACCTAGGGAAGTAGGAAGGAGGGAAGAGTACGAAGGAAGAAGAAGGGAAAAAGAGAAAGGGGGAAGAGGGCTAGTAATGAGAAGGGAGGTAGCGTAATATTGTTTAATGGGAAAGCCTCGATCATTGACGCAATTTTGAAATTGAAGGGGGGCAGCGGAATCAAGCAGATTAGATCGAGCGGGGGATTAGTGTGGGCGGATAAATGGCAGAGCGTTAAAGGGAAAGTGGGAGGTTGTATTCTGGAGACTGAGGGGAAGGTTATTCCTCTTCGTGAGTGTAGGAAGAAGTTAGAAGAGGGGTGTAACTTTACGATCAGGAGTATTGAGGTAATCTCATCAAGCATAACGAGGAGGAAGAACATACTCCGGGAATTGATGCGCCGACCCGGGAATATTCGAAGCATTTACAAGCTAGGATCTGAAGAGATCATCAATCTGTACAGGACTTCCGGCCTGTTTTGTGAGAAGAAGATTCTCAATCATCTGAGATATGCGATTTCGAATGTTGCGAAAAGAAAGTATGGAGTAGAAGTGCGCAGGAAGCCATGCGTGAAAATCCCGTTTTCACCATTGATTAGACTGGGTGAGGTGAGACGGTTGACATCAAATTTACTCGCTCAGATTTTACCGGATAAGTACATTCGTGCCTTTGTAGGGAGACGGGTCAGAGTCGTGCTGAAGAAGAGTGTCACTGTGGGAGGTGTGATCCACAATCATTGGTTGTACGCGGGAGAAAGTGAGGTTATCTGCACATGTCATGATCTGGACTTACCTAGGTTTGAGGGACACGTGAGAGTGAGGCTTGAGCACGTCCATGGCATTCCAGCGTTCGTGATGAACTCGAAGAATGTCACCAAGGGAGTGAGGATTTCGCATAAGATGTTGGCAGGATGCATATTGGAGGGAGTAAAGTCGTGGGCGAAGGGGAAGGCCCTGAATATCGACCAAGAATCGATCGGAAGATGCTTTGATAACAAGAGGGGCGATGGCGTGTTGGCAATGTCGACTGAAGATGTCAAAGAGGTGATGGCAGACTTCCAGAATTTAGTGGCGGTTCCCGTAGATAGGAACCCGGGCGCTACTCTGATACTTTGCCCGTACTTGTACATTACGACATATAAGGAAATCTTCAACCTGAGTGCGAGCTTTGTTGAGGTCTTTCGAAATGAGACTGATGTCTTGGCTGAGATGAAGAGAGAGTATGAAGAAAAAGGGCTGCGGAGAGTAGCTAGGTGGCAGACTTCCGGGAAGGTGGGACACACATATGTCCTTCCGAAGGATAAGGATCTTCAAAGATGGCGGCCCATTTCGCCATGCACGCATGACCCGGCTAGGTTAGCAGGGTCTAGGGCGGGGAAGGCTATTAGATATATGTTGTTTGGGTTGGACCGGAGGTGCCACTTTGATTTAAAATCAATGGACGAATGGAGAGAAGTCTGCGGTTGGGTGGAGTCGAAGTTGGGAGCGAAAGCCGACGCAGTGTACGGTAGAAGCTATGACGTTAAAGAGATGGTTTCCCGACTATCTCATCAAAGCATACTGGAGGCAGTCACGTGGTTGATTGATTGTCACAAGGAGAGAGGAATGATCGGAGTAAAGGTATGCGCGAGGGGGAAGGTATGTGCGATGACAAGGAGAGCGAGGAAGGAAGAAGGATTTGTTTTCATGGGCTTTGAAGACATCCGAGCTATCGTCGAATTCGAGTTGAACCATACTTTCGTGAAGTGCACCGGGGGAATGCTCAAACAAATATTCGGCATTCCGATGGGGCGGAACTCGAGTCCTGCCATCGCGTGCCTGGTGTGTGCTTGTGCTGAAGCCAAGTTTGTGCGATCACTGGGTAAAAGAGTCGGGTTGGTAATGGGCTTACGCATGATTGATGACGTGGCCATCTTTGCGGTCTTCAGATCTGACAATGAACGATCGGCCCGGAATGCGGAGATGATGATGGCGAAGTTTGAAAGCTGTTATGATCGAGAGCTGGCTCTTGTCAGGAAAGATGAGGGAAAGAATGCCTTTGATTTCCTAGGCACCAGGATATTCGTGCAGATTCAACCGCTGAAGATCGCCGTACATCCGAGAACCAGGAATCAACTTTCACTCGCAGAGAATGGGGCACTAACTACCCAGTCGCTACAGGATTATACCTCGTTCTCAAAGAAGTCATGTAAAAGAGCTACCGTTTTCTCGAATCTCATCAGAATGTCGAAGCTGTCAAGCTCAGAAGAAGCTTTGAAGGCAGTCATAGCCACTCTGATGATGGAAACTCGCCTTCGGGGCTACCCCCCGAAGGTCTCTCTCGGGGACCTGGCGCGGTTTGCCAGGGTGTCTGGTGGTATGTTGAGGACTTACCTCCTTAATGAGTACCCCGGGCTGGAGAGTTTTTTTTGAATTTACTAACCCTTTTCTTTTCTGGTGTGCAGTCCTACTGCGGCGGGGAAAGGTTTTTGAAAAAACTGTGGGAGTCGATTTATGGTTTTTGAAGTTTCGTTTGTTATCAGTAGACCGCCGGACGTCGTGGGGCCCAGTGGTGATTACTGAGAAGCTCTGGTCTACATTTTGCTCTGGTTTGTATTCTACTAAAATGAGTGAAGTGCCACAAAATGAGGTACGAAGTTAGAAAGAAGACAGGGAGATGACGCTGCAGTATAGGAGTTCTGAAGCGCCTTCACGAAACACAGTTGAATTTCCCGCCGTTCAAGGCGAGGGAAGACAGGTGCAGAGCCGAGTAAGGGAGGGACATAGCCCGTTTTGCGAACGTGCCAGAGGAGGGGAAGTGAATGGAAGAAGACGCAAGCGGGAGTCTTGGCGGGACGACAGAATATGGGGTCGTGTTTAGTAGGAACGATTGCTGCATACGAGCGGGTCGTGGCAGCGGGGAAGTAGCCGTGATCGSGGGATTGTAGGAATAGCGATGAGGGTAGCTGAAGGGTGGGAGTCGTGAGTAGGAGATTTAGAAGGACGAAGGAATGAGGATAGTGGACAGTAGAAGTAGTTGGTGCTTTGATACGCSCGCTTGGGATAGGGGATCAGGTATATAAGAAGGAGGGTTGGTGGGTTTTGACATCTCGAACTCTGGTTTGCCTCCTGATGAGCCTGCTGATGCACACCAGCAGCGAAACGCGTAGAGGCGTTGTGCGTGGGGTTTTTTTCTGCAATATCTTGAGATTATCTTCTGGAGTTGGGTAAACTTTTGCTTCATCCAGCATGTTGCTGTATTCTTCCCATCTTCTATTCTATTCTATTCTCTTTCTCTCTCTCTCTCTCTCTCTCTCTCTCTCTCTCTCTCTCACACACACACACACACACACACACACACACACACACACACACACAAAAAA